ACACATGGCATAACAAATAGTGTCAATTTTCGCAAGATAGTAAATTCAAACACGTATCTTTCTTTTTTACAGATAATATTAATAGATAATATTAAATTATTAAAAAAATGCATATTCTCTAGTCATGTTCATGTAAAATGTATAATATCTAATAATTTATTCTGAAATATTATTTTTAATATAAATCCAAGTTTATGAATTAAAATTATAATAATTCGTAACACCACCAATCATGCAATTATAATAAGAGGAGATTTTAAATCGAATTTAACTAAATTCAAATTAAATTAATTATAAAATTAAATTCAAAAATAATTTATTAAGGGTTTCCAAGAAAGTTGATATATTAAGAGCATTTTATAAATGGTAGGATATAAATATATTAATAAAATAATTAAATATATTTAATTACCTTTAATTTTGGAAAACGATGACATGTTTTTCTATGATTTATTTCGATCAATCAATTCGCCACTTGGGATGAAATTGAGGACATGTCATCAATTAAAATTGCCAAATGTCAATCAATTAGCTATGGAATTCAACTTTTATATATTATATAGATATATATTATTATATTTTGAAATATATAAAATCAATTCATTTTTTTATGATTTGATTAAGCTTCACTTAGGTTATTCAATATATTAGTATAATCATGATAAAATTTGTATTTTAATTAGTATATAATTTAAAAGGTTAAATCAATCGTAAAATTTATTGCCACTGGATTCAGTGAAGAAAAAATAGTTATTTAAATAATAAAATGAAACTCATGTAGTATGATTTTCAATATGGTACATAATTGGGAGTACATTACTCTACACATGGCATAACAAATAGTGTCAATTTTTGCAAGATAGTAAATTCAAACATGTATCTTTCTTTTTTACAGATAATATTAATATATAATATTAAATTAGTAAAAAAAATACATATTCTCTTGTCATGCTCATGTAAAATGTATAATATCAAATAATTTATTCTGCAATATTTTTTTTAATATAAATCCAATTTTATGAATTAAAATTAAAAAAATTCGTAACGCCACCAATCATGCAATTATAATAAGGGAAAATTTTAAATCGAATTTGACTAAATTCAAATTAAATTAATTATAAAATGAAATAAAAAAAATAAATTTATTTAGGGTTTCTAAGAAAGTTGATATATTTAGAGCATTTTATAAATGGTAGGATATAAATATATTAATAAAATAATTAAATATATTTAATTACCTCTAATTTTGGAAAATGATGACATGTTTTTTGATGATTTATTTCCACCAATCAATTCGCCACTTGGGATGAAATTGATTACATGTCATCAATTGTAATTGCCAAATGTCAATCAATTAGCTATGCAATTCAACTTTTATATATTATATAGATAATATTTTCTCAATATTTTTAGATAGGCGGCGGTTATATGCAAGCCCATTTTTTTATTAATTCAAAACCACATAAAAGAGTTTATTAGTTCAAGCCCGTAAATTAATCTAATTTTATTACATCAAGATCAAAGATGACAAATATACCATTATCCACAAATAATACTCAAAGACAAATAAATCTTATTTTTAATTTGTTCAAGACCAAAATCAAAAAAAAAAAAAACAAAAAAAAAAAATATATCACGACTGCCAACCAGCGACACCAACCAGCGAGACTTCCACCGCACCGGCGATGACCAGCGACTCACCCACCACACCATTACCACCACCGCACCACCACCAACAAGTAAGTCCATTTTACTAAACTTTTATTTGTAAATTCGAAAACATTAATCGAGCATCGATGTCCTTTTTACTAAATTTTTTTTTGTAAATTCGAAAACATTAATCGAACATCAATTCTTGATAAATATGTATGAATGAACATTAATCTATGCTTATTTCTTGTTGGGTTGCAATGATTTGGCCGATTTTGGAAAAAAAATTGAGATTGAAATTGATTTTTTTTATTTTTTTTCGTTGGTTTCCCAAATCGGTTTATCCAGACCGATTTTGTACACGAAAATCGGCGTCATAATGCCGATTTTTGTTAACCAAATCGGCGACACAACGTCGACTTTACAAGTCACAATCGGCGTTCTAATGTCGATTATTGAGTACAAAATCGGTTTTCGGATACCAATATTTTTTGAATTTTTTTTTAAATAATACATTATATATTTGGTTAATTGATATTTTTTAAATATTTGAAACGAAAATGTTTATCACCATTCGGTGGCGTCTACCACTCCTTTAACCCAATCGAGTAGAGCTTTCCGTATCTCAAATATTTATTCGTTAGATAATTCATTTGAATAATCCTCCATCAATCCCCTAGGTTGATGCACGAAAGTATGAGAAAACGGTCTTAAAAAAACACAGATAATAAAATCGGTATTTAAAAACCGATTTTTGTAGTACAAGTCGGCATGACAATACCGATAATACAAAAACAAATCGGTGTTGTCATGCCGATTTTTACTACAAAAATCGGTTTTTAAGTACCGATTTTTATTAAAATAATCGGAATGTGGTTACCGACTTTAGTAACAAAAATCGGTATTTGAAGACCGATTTTTGGTATCGTCGAATTTTTTTCCCAACAAAAAAAATGACCCAAAAGCAAAAATAAACGGTTAAAACATATTTCATTGTGTTCTCCACCCTCGTAAACCACCATATCATTGTTTTCTGGTTCCATCGTGAATGTTTGGTATGTATTTGATAATTTTGGTGTGTAGAATTTCTTGGTGGGTTTGTGAAGAAGAAGGAGAAGAAGAAGAAGAGTTTTAAGTCGTGAAATAAGGAAGAAGAGTTTCTGGATTTATGTATTTTATTTGGTCTTGCACAAAGAAAATGATTTTTTTTTATTTTTTAATGTTTTGTGTTTTTTATTTGATTTTAAATTTCATTAAGTGTAAATTAGTACTTTTATATTGGAGGTCTTGAACTAATAAAAAAATGGGTTTGCATATAAGCGCCGCCTTTTAGATATGATTTGATTGATAAAGTATGTTTGTCTCCTCTCATTATATAAACAAGGGTAAATTACAACTATCATTGAGGTATAGTCAAATTACGAAAACCCCCTCTTGTTTGGGTAATTACAATCACCCCCTCACCTATAAACTTGTTTACACGTCCACCTTTGCGGTTTCGAATTTAGTCGAATCTTCGAGATTATATGGAGTATTATCACTTTTGTACCCACCATTTTATCCCATTCGAACTCCACATTTTGAAGCAAGATGATCATAATATGTGTTTTTTAGCTTGTATGTATGAGATTGTGGTGCATCAAAACTGTATTTTTACACAAAATGAGTACAAACTAGAGCACATTCCACGAAATCTAGATGATTATGTTGAATTTGACACCATAATGGTGGAGGTGTAAGAAAAAATCATAGTTGAGAGGATAGATGTAATGATCCAAACAAGATGGATTTTTTTGTAAATTGACCATACCTCAGGGGTGGTTGTAATTTACCCTATAAACAAATATTAGTTTCATTCTTAATTTAATCTCTTAAATATTAGCTTTAAATCTTTTATATATACTTTGGGTTATTTGAGCTTATCATGACTTGTGATTGTGTGTCGCAAAATTCAAGTCTCATTTAAAATATAATGATAATAATAATATAATAAGTAAAGGAAAGAAAGGAAAGAAAAAAAAAAAAAAACATATTTTTGAAGGGAATTAGGTGACTGTGGGCAATAATGCGTAGTCACTGTATGGTGAAAAAGATCGGAGTGATTGATTATTTGATTCTGATAGGAAAAAGAAAAGTAAAAAGAAGTAATTAAATAATTAATTAACTGTGCTTTGGAAGACTTGTTCACATTCATGCATGCATGCATCGAAGACTTCTTTTTCAACGTCCTAATTTTACATGTTTGACCGGGTGAATTGCGTTTTGAACCCCATAACTAACAGCATTTGACGTTTCGCACCCTGATATTTTAAAATTGCCAAAGTCCACCCTTAAAATATATATCTTATGGGAAAATGCACCCTACCTCCATTTCTAGTGATATTTTAGCGAAAAAAAATCAATATATGCCTGTATTTTACACTTTTTAAGGAATTTTCATTCTTTTTGTTTGGTTTTCTTACCTAATATTGTTTTTAATTATTTTACTTTTAATATAAAATTCAAAAAAAACATAAGTGATGATTTTTTTTTTAATAATTATTTAAACTGGGAGGAGTGATTTTTTTGTAATTTTCAGACTTAGATCAAACAGTGTTAATGTCAAATGTCTGAAAACTATCGGCGATGGCCATATTGAGACAATTTTTCAAGTACATCGGGGCAAATCGATGCAATCAAGAGTAGAAGGGGTTAAAGTGATATCGAATCCAAGTTCAAGGGGAAGTGGAATTTACGCAAGTTTTTAATATGTGGAATCCTCAAAACTATTTTACTTTTTAAATTTTGAAATTTGTTTTCGAATTGTTTCGATTTATTTTAAAATAATGTAGTTCATATATTTAAAATAATATAGAACCTAAGTTTAGTATGTAATTAGATTATTAGTCAACAATTTAAAGTAAAAAAAAAATTAGAGTAAAGTAGATGTCTACTATATAATATAAATACATAATAATGTATGCTTTGTTTTCTAAAAAATATGATATATATTTTGTTATTTTTTTTCTTCTTCACCTTCACAAACCCTGCAAAAAACTTCGAAATCCAAAGAAATCTAAGCCTCACAAAACTTACGAAATGGAGTCACAAGACAATAAAATGGTAGTTTACATTGACGGAGAACGCATTAAGTTATGTATTCATATTTTTTTTGAGCTTTAAAATCGAATTTTAAGGTTTTTTTAAAAACCCGCCTCCATTTTTCGAGCATGCATGTCGATATTTTGCGTTTTTTCGACATGTATGTGTTGAAAATGTGGAGGAACAAACAATTAAAATCCTACACCTATTTGTCGAAACTTTAGACAAAAAATCACACATTATTCTTGAAATACAAAAAAGAACCCAAGAAATAAAAACTTTTTCATTTTTCAGTACAAGTGAAACATGGAGTAACATTTAGGTATGGAATTCATCTCAAATATGTTGACGAATAAACCACAAGAATCGAAACTATATCTTTGCTCCTTTGCAACCCTTCTACTCGTGCTTAAAAAAGCAAAACAGAAGAACCAAAGAACAGTTCATCTTCTCAAACTCTTTACACATAAAACAAAAACAAATGAAGTTAACAAATTATCAAAGTGACAACAAATTTAAACCTTTTACAAATTTATACGATTTAAAAAAAAAAAAACCCAACATGTACACTTAAGACGAAGAAATAAAGAAGTGCTTAGACAGTGTTGTGTCTCTTTACACATCTCTCTTTTCCAAGAAATCAGTATTCACGGAGATTGGATAGAGATCACCACCACCATGGGATACTGCTGAGGTACCGGTCCATGGAACTTGATCCTCCATTGATATGATGCTGTGGTCTTGACCTTGACCATATTCATCGTTAGGGTTCTTTTTCGTCATTTCCTTATGAGGAGGGGTACTCTTGTAATTCGAGACAGTACTTGTGTCTAAAAAGAACTCTCCAACACCAGCTTTTCCCTCGAGAATGCTTACCACTGCTGACATATTTGGTCTTTCAGCAGCTATAACATTTGTGCAATGGAGTGCCACCTGGATAGCCGCCATGACCTCCTTTTTCTTGAAGTTGGATTCCAATCTTGGGTCGACTATTTCTATCAATTTTCCTGCCTCCAGCAACCTATGTGCCTAACAAAAGCGGAAAAAAAAAGTTTATTTTTGTGATCATAAAAACAGCAGCAGCGGAAGACAAATGTAAGTATGGGAAACGGTGAACTAAATGTACCCAGTCAAGAAGATAGAAAGTGTCATCTTTGCCTCTGCTGCTAGAGTTGCTCCTTCCACTGATAACTTCCAAAAGAACAACACCAAAGCTGTATACATCTGCTTTGTCTGTCAAATGGCCTCGCATCGCATACTCAGGCGCCATATATCCACTGAGAAATCAAATATCATGTCAGTAATGTTTTTGTCGTAGTTTTTATCGGAAAGGGTTTTTTTTTTTTTATGTTTTTTCCGCAAAAGTATAGACTTAAACAGTTAAACCTCACGATATAAATCTTATAGAGAGGGACACAGTAGGTATAAATTCTATGAAATCAATGGCTCGATCTTTGGTTGGATAAAAATAGTAAGCTAGACAAATATAAATGTTTTGATTACTCACAAAGTTCCAGCAATGCGGGTGCTGATATGGGTGTTATCCTCTTCATCGAGCTTGGCGAGTCCAAAATCAGATATCTTAGCCATAAGATCTTTATCAAGAAGCACATTTGTAGCCTTGATATCACGATGGACAATTTTCAGTCTTGATTCTTCATGGAGATAAGCCAAGCCTCTGGCTATACCAACGCAGATCTTGTGCCTCGTTGGCCAATCCAAATGAATTTGGTGTTCTTCTGGACCTGCAAAAATTTATCTTCATACGTAAGTTTAAATTGATAAAAATAAATTCGGATCAGTCCACACAAATTGTGGGTCCCATTTGGCTTCCTCTGGAAGTGAAACCAACAAAAATAGAATTGTGGCAAAACTTACCAAATAATGCACGAGCAAGGCTATTATTTTCCAAGTACTCGTAGACAAGCAACAACTGGTTGCCTTCAATGCAACATCCATGTAACCTGACAAGATGAGGGTGTTGTAGAGCAGAAATCATGCCAATTTCATTGACAAACTCACGGTTCCCTTGTTTTGATTTGGCAGAAAGCTGCTTTACGGCGATAGCTGTACCATCGGATAGGACACCCTTCAAATAAGACAGGTGATCGCAACCAAATCAGAGGTGACAGAAAAACTAAATGAACTTAATGACAAAATAAAGATAATTCATTTAGTAGAAGTATGTATTGTTTATACTACCTTGAATACCGGACCGAAACCACCTTCTCCAATCTTATTAGCAGCATCAAAATTGTTTGTGGCAACTTTAATTTCCTTCAGTGTAAATGACCCAGTGTGAAGGTCTACACCCCTTAGTTCTGAGAAAAAGAGTGTTATACGTAAATTAGCATTTTAGATAACTGCAAACACTTTCCAATTACATAATTCAATTTAGATAACATTTATTGATGCTGCACTCTTGAAATATTGAATCAATAACAAATTTGAACACAGTAAAACAAGATTCTGACACAAGTTAAAAGTAAAGGCACATATGGTTGTGCCAGTAATTTTAGTACCATGTTCCAGTGTGTTCTCTCTGGGTCTCAGCCAACCCATCCACCAAAGAATACCAAGAACCAGAGAAACTGTCACAAGACCTGCTGCTACAATACCAACTATAGCACCTGCAGAAATGCTGCTTCCATTTGCTGATGGTTCTGCTGGTGGTGTAAAATCTAACAGAAAGAGAGAAGAGGAGAAGACATTATGTCAAGATAATCCATTACTTCTTTATTGATTATAAATTAGAGACGATAATGTATCAGGCAACTATGTTCCGTGCATAGTTGGCAATAACGGGACATATTTTAGAATCCTAAACCAATTTGGAATTTTTCAAAAGATGTTAACACTATATAATAAAAAGAATACACTACAACTCCAAAGATAATATTAGATCATAATTATGTAGAATTTTACGTCACTTTAATTCTAATTTCCATTTTCCAAGTCGATACGATCCATTCAATTCTATGCTTGTGTGTTCTACTATTGAATCCCAACTTGCAACTTACTAGGTTCTACAGATATGGCTGAAATGAGAGGACCGTATACACCTCTCACAGGAATAGCATTTGTCCCTTTCCCAGCCCAATAGAAGCGTATATCCAAAGTATTATCAGCAACAACTGCAGTGAAGTTTTTTATGATTCCCTTGTTAACTCCACCTGCTTCATTTTGAATGTTGAAATCCTTCAGCACCAGATTTCCCTGAATATATTTGTTCCAGAAACCTTGAAGCATTTCTCAAAATGAAAAAAAAAAAAAACCCTCTAATGAAAAGGGGTTTATACAAGTACCTGAACGTATACATCAAACAAACGCCTCCCAAGACTACTGTAGGTTTTGTCATTAGTAAATATGATCTCTGCAAAGTGAAGGTTTACGGTGTAGTTCCCGTTTATCAAACAAAATCCGTAATAAGTTAATGAGAGTGGGGAAAGGCGTGCATCCATGTACAACTGGGAATTCGGCCCTGAGATGCTTGAGCTGTTTGGCCAGATGAACGAGTCCGTAGGGCGGTCATCATCCAAGAAGTGGCCAGTGCTGCTGACTCCCCAGTTTGTCTTACTTGTGAAGAAATTTGAAGCTCCCCCAGAAGTTCCATCATTTTCGTAAATAGTTCCTTTATCATCAACCACTTGATTTCCACCACAGTTAATGTGGATAGATGAATACTCTGAGACAAAAGCATGGCACAAATTTTCAATAATTACTTAGAAAGAAAAGACAGGGAAAGAACAAAAACACACGTATAAAGACTTATAACTTATAACTGTAACAGTCTCAAAGCTCCACCAGAATGCCAAATTAATAAATGTGTGGACTCACACGTATAAAGAGTATACTTAAAGCTCTACGTGAATACTGAAACATAAGTTGTAATGATAAAATAAAAGCAATGGGATCAAGTAGTATGATGAATCAAAAGAAGGGGAAGTCCCTCTGCAGCAATCACATCCTAAAATAGAACCAGGAAACCCTCGTCGGCGATGAATATGGCGAGGGATAGAGGCCTAATATCTCTAATAGTCTGTGATAAAATAACTAAGATTCATTTTAAAGACAATTGGTAATTCAGACTAGACCAACGTGTCTTAATCTATTAGAAGTGCCTTTTGAATACTTTCAAATAGAAAATGACTCCTAAAGAATGAACTGTTATAGATGGACATCCTGAAAAAGGAAATTGTGGAGCATTTATAATTAAGGTACTCATTTGGAGTACGATAAAATTCAGCATCACTTAGTTCAAGTGCTCAACCAGATCAATCATCTGAGGGAAATAAGTAATAAAACAATCAATGTTTAAAGAATATATAATGTTACTTACTTCGCTGACATTGGGAGTTTCTTAAGCAGGAAACAATACCACTGCCAAAGAGAATGTATATTTTGATAAGTAAGCTTCATATAACAGAAAATGAGATGTAAAACGGAGGTTTTGTGAACTTTTAAGTCAGAAACTTACGAAGAATTTCCTTTGGAGCTTGCAAACAAGTTTCTGAAAATAATTGGTGAAAATTGCTCAAATGAGGAAATTCAAAAACAATATCGACATGATGAAAAGTGTAAGTAATCTCACAAGTTGCGTGGCTGACAATTTGCAGCTTCATATGTGAGGTTGTTATAAGACAGGTCACTGCATACAAATTGAATAGATTTAAACTTCACTGGATTTGATCATACAATATTTCTATGTTAAAACGATAGAGCTAGAGGCAATTATTGACTCGCTTTATGTCTGAATAAGAGAAGCAAAAATGAGAGGGAGGAAGCAATACATTGCGTCGCCGTCTTTCAACATCCAATCCGGCAGCGGCCCAGTTAGGGAGTTACCAGTTAGATACCTGGAAATGAACATGCCGAGTTAGCAATCTCAATATTTTCCTTGTATGCAAAAACGTGTCACAGATAATCTGGCAGTGACTTTTAAAACTGCAAAACTCAGTTCTGAAGCTAAGACATGTCTATAATTATTAGTACTGAGCTTGAGCCCTTATAATTCTCTGCACTGCAGAAAATTCAGAAAAAGATTGGAAAGGACAAGACAAATAGGTAGTGAAGGATTTTTGTAAACTCTATGAGGTATTCTCCATTTCCACTTTTTTGTCACTTTCCGTACAAATAAATTTGACCTCAAATATGTGCCTTAAGCAAATTGATTTTACTGTTAACTCGTATTGGGGCTGAAATGGTTTCCACCATGCCACTTCCTCGATCTTCGTGTTAACTTTTTTAATTGTTGCAAGTTTACGTTATTTGATTTTGAGTAGAAACCGTGACTAATCAAATAAAAGTGGCTACTAGAGATAACAAATAGAAACTCTTACAGTGTACTTGTTTTTGTTAGACCAGCAAAGCTGTCTGGAATCGGTCCACTTAATTTGTTGAAACTCAGATCTCTGCATAAGAAAGCAAAATAAGAGATATACAAAAATATCCATTAGTCATTTGATCTCGTGTGTGAATGCTAACATTGAACAGTGTTATCAAGTTTCGCAACAATGAAAGAATTGGATTCTATATTGTTTCTAATTTTTAAATTTATTTTTCACTTTCCATATTTCCACAGTATAGTGCATAAATACTAGAAAGAGATAAACGTTTCTACTAACAAGGCTTTCAATGATGTCAGTCTTCCAATATAACTTGGTAACTCCCCGATGAGATTGCAACTCCTCAATATCCTGCATAACAATATTGATAGAGTCATACAAAAGCAAAGCAACGATCGATCTTGTGACAAAGCTATATGCAAAAATCCCACTGACAGTGTCTTAAGGTTTTTATTTTTACTAAGATCTGGAAAAGTTGATTCGTTCCCGTTCAAGTCACTGATTCTCCTGCACATTTAGAGCAGATGCAAAGCATCAGATTCTTTCTTCTCACTTTCAAGGAAAAATATTCATTGTCACTTCAACAAGCTTATATAATAAAGATCACAATCTATACTCACACGTCGGTCAATTTGGTTAGGGAAGCAATACCAGAAGGGATCGGCCCACTCAGACCACTGCCCTGAATCACCCTGACATTACCAAATTAGAAGTTAAAATTTGATGAAAACCCGCTAAACAGTAAACGAAATAACAAGGATTTGCCATAGCATCAAATGTCGAGCAATCCTTACAATTTTTCGAGATTTGTCCAGTTCTGGACAAAATCAGGTATGCTTCCATTGAAGTTGTTATCACTAACGCGACTGCATCAAAACATAAAGCTTATATATGGTCCCAAAAAGAATATTAGTGAACCTCTGTCAAAAAGTAACATGGAGAAGAAACTTACAAGTCTTTCAGTGTGGTTAGTTTTGCTAGAGTTGCAGGTATCTCCCCGGTTAAGTTGTTTGAGGTAAAAAATCTTCAGAAGATGACAGTAAAAAAATAAAAATCCAACCATCTTATAATCAAACTAAGCTAAAAATGAGGTAAAAATATTATTAAAAAAAAAAAGGCAACAACTTAATATACTCATTCAAACAAGGGGGGAAATCGAAAATTAGAATTGCCTGAATTGGAGAGCCTTACAATTTCTCTATTCGAGGAAGATCCCCAAACTCGGGAGGGATTGTTCCAGTTAACTGATTGTACTCCACAGTCCTTCAAAAAAAAAAAAAAAAAAAAAAAGCAGAACAAGTAAATTCTAAATAAGATATCCATCAACTCGAAATTGATCTAATAATAAAACGAAAATTAGTAAGAAAAATTTACAGATTTGCAAGCGTGCTGATGTTGGCAAGGGCTTTTGGTATTGGACCCGTCACACGGTTCCCGAGGAGAGAACTGCATTGCAAACCAACATTACTCTTTCAGCACCATAACTCCATTCCACAACTATTACTCTTCAATTTTATTTACGCATACATCCTTAGACAGCAAATGCACACACACACACACACACATAATAAACACATATATAACTATACATATACGTATATATAGAGAGAGAAACGACGTACATGTTTACGAGATTCATGGAGCCCCATTCTGGAGGGATGGTGCCGTTGAGATAATTCCGGGTGAGATCACTGTGCAAATCAGATGAATTGAGAATTCGAAGAGTTTGAATTATTGAAACCCTAGATTTCAGTTTGTGTAATTGTGTGTGTGTGAAATAGTGGTGTAGGAGTGTGTGTAGAGAGAGAAAGTAGACTTATTACATCTCTTTGAGGAAAGGGAGCCTGACGAGCTCTCGCGGGACAGTACCTTGCAGATTCTGGGCTTTCAGAATTCTGCAATCCCAATCAACACAAAAATGGACTAATTAATTAAGAATTTGCTGAAGATAAATATTTCAGTTGTTTTAATTAGCATTAATTAATATATTTTATTTTTGTACCTTGCTGCAATTGAGAATTGACAGTACGCGCGGGATTATTTTTTGCAGCGTTGTGTTTTTTCAGTTGAGTCAAAACAATACTCTTTTTTTTTTTAATTATTTTTTAGATTTATCAAACTGCTAAATCACACCCTAATTTTATCAAATCATGCAAATAATCAAAACTAATTATCTCTCTAAATTCTTTTCTTCTCCTTCTCCACTCGTCTTTTTTTCCCCTATCTTAGTCCACAAAATGACTCACTAAAAATGTCCCTAGCATTTCAAGTTCGAATTTGACAAAAATCTTCACATGTTCAAACTAAAATAAAGTTGAAATTTGAGGAAAAAAACGAAATGATATGAATTTGAATAATTAAAAAAAACTTAATAAATTTGAATAAATATTAAATAAAACTGAACTCAATTTTTATAATTATTGACGTCAATATTAAGGAATTTTGAGTGACTTGGATAAAATCATTTTAGAAAGAAGTAAGAGAAAATATGAAAAGAGAGAAAATTTTATTTTTAATTTATGTGTAGGATTTAGTAAATTTTAGCACGCCCCTCAAAATGACATAGATTTCAAGTAGAATTTATAAAATTATAATTTTTTTATAAATATAATGCGAATGTCATCCTTATCATTGAACATTTTTTTTTATTCCGATTTCTAAAATTTCAATTTTCGATATTTTTCGAAGATTTTGGATTGGGATTGAAATCATATAAATAAATATTTGAAAGTTCCGATTTTCTATCCGATTAATTTTCAAAATTAATTTCGAAAAATCCATTTTTTTTCCGAAAAATATACAAATAAAATAGATTATTTGTTTTTGCGAAAAGTACCAATAAAATAGATGAAATATTTACATATTCTTATCTTGCTCGATGTTGGAGAGTCTTAGTATTGTTTCATTTGCTAATTTTCACGTAAAAAAGACCTAGTTTCTTCCATAGTTTTGACTTTTATAATTCCGAGGGTTTAGAATTTTATATAGTATTTGAAAATAGGTGTCTACAAATTAACAAAAGAAAATAGGTGTGTCGTGCAGTTGGAATCATTATAGTTATTTTAAAAATAGTAGAATTTATTCATCATACGAGTAATTTTAGTTTTATAATTTTATGAAAGTGGGTGTTCTTATTTTTAGAAATTTATGAAAGCTTTTGAAACTTTTAAAAAGTGTAATACTCCTGTAATTTAAAAGATTCCGAAATATCCATAGCTTTTGGAATTGGAATGAATTTCTAAATTTTTCAATTTTTTGTTGGAATCAGAATAAGTAATTTGTACTTCCGAAAAAAATTGGAAAATTTTCCAAAACTCATCCGACTTTCACCCCTAATTCTAATTCATAGTAGGCATTCATTTCTATCGACATAGTGATCATTAATTTCATGTAAGAAAATAAAAATAGAAATGAAAGGCGTGGAGTTAAGAAAATAATAAACTCACATGCTAACAACGTGGCAAACGGTGTTATTTTCAAAGGTGCAGTCGCAAGTAAGCGCATTCTCAAAACCCTTAACCGGGTTCTGGGTCGCCCAACCCGATAACCCGCTACATGGATCCACACTGAAATCCCAGTCCGTCTTCCCTAAACTCTTTGCCACCACCAGCAAAGATACCACTGCCGCACCACCAAAACACCATTATTAATAACTGTATATATACAAAAACACGCGCGCACACACATGCATGTATGTATATATATATGTATAATACCTTCATCAGGAGGCAAAACAGCTGCTCCAGAAGCAAAACCCAGAAGACAAATCAATCCGAGAATCTTTGGGAGCAACATTGGACGACGACGACGTAGATGTACGAACATACACGTACATGAGAAGAAGAAAAAAAAAACCACTATGTTATTAAGTATGAAATTAGGGCTGGGGGTCACGTATTAATGGATCTAATTTATGCAATGTTCTTTTCTTTTTCTTTTTTTTTTAAATAATTTAGTTTAGTCTTTTTTTTTTTATGAAGGACGTGAGCTTCAATAATGGTGTGTTTTTAAGATAGAGAAGCTGGGTCGTTGAAGATGATGGATGTGAATTAAGAACTGTGCAATTTGGATTAAATTAAATCTACAAAAACCGTACCAATGGCAAGCATGAAAGCTTATAATTATTAGTTGGAATATGTGATATTTTTAATCAGAAAATCCATTTGCCAAAATGAAATAATAAAGCGTTTACTATCTATCTATCATACAAAAAATAATTAATAATTAAGGAATCTATTCATTTTGTCAAACAAGTTTGTTCATACATATATACATGTTAGTGTAAATTACACTTACACTCCTGAGGTATGCTAAAATAACTTTAAGGTCCTTATAATATCGATAATTACAATCACCACCTGAAATATTGTTATAAACTCTAACGGAATAATGCATTAGGTAAGTATTGTGTTAGGGTTCTAACGGAGTATTAGTTTCAGGCACTGGTAGAGACAACATAGAGTTAAGGGGTGACATGGTTCTCCTAATAACATTTATTCAATAATTATTATGTTTTATAAGATTTATAAATTTTCATCTATGGTAGTATTAAGGGCCCCGCGGGAAACAAATACACTGCATATCGGTCTCCATGACATAAATCTTGGCTTCGGTAATTGTTTCAGGGGTGTGGCTGTAATTACTAATACCACATGGATATTAAAGTTATTTTAGCATACCTTAGGGGTTTAGGTGTAATATCCTATATATTATATATATTATTTTTACTTTTCTTTTTTTGAATAAAAAACATCCATAGGGTGAGAGGTTAACACGCCTTTAACAGGTCGAACCGCCCATATACAGGAAGAATTCAAGTCTTCCCAAACAATCATTATCAAACCAAATAATTAATTAGGAGGCAAAATAAGTATATATATATAAAAATAAATAAAATGCAACATGGTGATTATAAATAACGAAAATGAATTTTTCTTAGTTGCAAGTATAGTCGTCGAAATTTAAAAAATATACACACTTATTTATAAAATTAAATGTACAGTGTACACAAAGAAGGATCAAACTGTCGGTAGGATATATAATCTGATATGTATATGTGCACACTTATGTATAAAATTAAATGTGTATAACTATCTAAAAGAACAATATGCATTACTATTAATTGTGATCTAACAAATTAAGTTAATTTGGGTTGAACTGATTATAGCTAATGAGTTTAATTTGTAGAAACGATTTGGGTAGTTATTTGTGAATAATTAGTTGGAGGTGTCGAATCATAGTTCGGGGATCGGATCTCATCGCATCTGATAGGACACTCTTCGGTTAAGCTCTCGATCGGCCAATAAGAACTGACCGAAAAACCCAATTTTGAGGACCGAAACATGCACATTTAAACTCTCGGCCAAAAGCGCAAACTCGAAGGGAAAACAAAACGCAACGAGCAAACAGATCCTCCATTCGAAAAATGTCAGAGTGAAAACAACTTTAAACTTTTTACAAGGCATTGTAATAATAAATGTATATGTTTTTTTCTAAACCAAATTTAGCAACAGCTATTTGTTTCTCTTGTCCACCACAACTGTATTCAGATCAAAACCACAAATGTACAGAAAATCGAAGAAATAAAGAATTTTCAGAGAGTGTTTATAGATTTCTCTTCTCCAAGTATTCCACGTCGACTGGATATAGGTCACCGGCAGTGGATGCTGAGGAACCAGTCCATCGAACATCAATTGATGTGCTCTGCCCTTGACCATCATACTCATTACGGTCAGATTCTGTCGTTTCCTTAACAAGATTTGTCCCGTCATTCGAGGTACTCGTGTCTGAAATGAATTCTCCAACAACGGCTTTTCCTTCTAGAATGCTTACAACTGCCGACATACTTGGCCTTTCTGTGGCTACAATATTTGTGCAATGGAGCGCCACATTTATAGCCGATATAACCTCTTTTTTCTTGAACTTCGATTCCAATCTTGGATCCACTAAATCCATCAATTTTCCTGTCTCATTCAACGAGTTTGCCTAGAAGAAAAAAAGGAAAAAGGAGTTTCATCTTCGAAGTTCTTGTGTGAACATAGCATGCGTTAAGCTTATCATAGTGACTCGTAGAAACAACAGTAGCAGAAGACGAATGTAAATACGTGAAACAGTGTTAACTCAATATACCCATTCAAGAAGATCGAAGCTTGGATCCCTACTGCTAGAGTTGCTCCTTCCACTGATAAGTTCCAAAAGAACAACCCCAAAGCTATATACATCTGCTTTGTCTGTCAAATGTCCTCGCATTGCATATTCTGGCGCCATATATCCACTGGGAAATCAAATATTATGTCAGTAATGTCTCTGTCATAAGTTTTTTTTCCAAAAAAAAAAAAAGAAAACGAAGAAAAAAAGTTGAATATTGACGGAGACAGTAGATGTTCTGTGAAATGAATGGCTCAATTATTTGGTCAAATATATGAATGATTGATTACTCACTAAGTACCGGCAACACGGGTGCTTATATGGGTGTTATCCTCTTCATCGAGCTTGGCAAGTCCAGAATATGATATTTTGGCCATAAGATCTTTATCAAGAAGCACATTTGTAGCCTTGATATCACGATGCACAATTTTAAGTCTTGATTCTTCATGCATATACGCCAAATCTCTGGCTATACCAATGCAGATCTTATGCCTCGTCGGCCAATCCAAATCAATTTGGTGTTCTTCTAGACCTGCAAAAAAAAAAGAAAAAAAAAATTGGATCGGTGCACATAAGTTGTGGATCCCATTTATATCTCTCTTGAAGTAGAAGCAACAAAAATAGAATTGTAGCAAAACATACCAAATAATGCACGAGCAAGGCTATTATTTTCCAAGTACTCATAGACAAGCAACAACTGGTTGCCTTTAATGCAACATCCATGTAATTTGACAAGATGAGGGTGTTGTAGAGCCTAAATCATGCCAATTTTATTGACAAATTCACGGTTCCCTTGCTTTGATTTGGCAGAAAGCTGCTTTAATAGTGCCATCTGGCAGAACACCCTTCAAATCAGAGGTGGCAGAAAAACGAAATGAGTTGAATGACAACATAAAGATAATTCATTTACTAGACGTATTTATTGTTTACGCTACCTTGAAGACATGACTGAAACCACCTTCTCCAATCTTGTTAGCAAGATCAAAATTGTTTGTGGTGGTTTTAATTTGCTTTAGCGTAAATGATCCAGTGTGAAGGTCTACACCCTTTAGTTCTGAGAAAAACAATTAAAATAGCAATTTAGATAACTGCAAACACTTTTCAATCACATAGTTCATTTTAGATGGCATTTATTGCACTCTCTCAAATATTGCACGAATTTGCACACATGAAAATAAGATACATGTACATGTTGAAATTTAAGGACTATATGATTGAGCCAGTAATTTTAGTACCATGTTCCAATGTGTCTTTGCGTCTAAAACAACCCTTCCACCAAAGAATACCTAGAACTAGCATGAGTATTAGCCAGGATGTAACAAGAACTGCTGCTACTATGCCAACTACAGCCCCTGCAGATATGCTGCTTCCATTTTCTGATGGTGGCGTAAAATCTGAGAGGAAGAGAGAGAGAGAGAGAGAGAGAGAGAGAGAGAGAGAGAGAGAGAGAGAGAGAGAGAGAGATAGATAAATCAAATATACTGTCAAAATAATCCATAATCTCCTTCATTGGTTATATTAGAGATGTGTCAGACAACTATCTCCTATGTTTACAAGTTACTAAATTCCAACTTCCGACTTACCAGGATCAACAGATATGGCTGAAATGAGAGGACCGTATACGCCTCTAACATGAATACCATTTGTCCATTTCCCAGCCCAATAGAAGCGGATATCCAAATTATTATCAGCAACAACTGCAGTGAAGTTTCTTCTAATTCCCTTGTTAACTCCACCTGCTTCTTTTTCAATGTTGAAATCCTTCAGCACCAGCTTTCCCTGAAATTATTTTTTTCCAGAAACCACGAGGCACTTCTTAAAGTGAAAAACTACAAATACAAATACAAAACAAATAACCACTAACATCACATGACAACAAAACTCAACTGATTCATTCAACATAAGTTCTCGTCATTTAAAAGAGAACCCTTTCAAACATACTCGTTAGAAAAAAAACTTATTATACATGTACCTGAATGAACACATCAAACAGACGCCTCCCAAGGCTACTATATGTTTTATCATCAGTAAACATGATCTCCGCAAAGTGAAGGTTTACTGTGTAGTTCCCGTTTATCAAACAAAATCCATAATACGTTAATGAGAGTGGGAAAGGCGTGCATCCATGTACAACTGGGAATTCAGTCCTGAGATGCTTGAGCTGTTTGGCCAGATGAACGAGTCCGTAGGGCGGTCATCGTCCAAGAAGTGGCCCGTGCTGCTAAATCCCGAGTTTGCCTTACTTGCGATGAAATTTGAAGGCCCACCAGAATTTCCATCATCTTCGTAGGTAGATCCTTTATCATCAGCTACTTGTCTTCCACCACAGTTAATACGGAGAGAGTAATACTCTGTGACAAAAGCATGGAACGAATTCTCAATAATTACATCCACTGCCAAAGAGAATGAATATTTTGATAAGTAAGCTTCATATAACAGAAAATGAGATGTACAACGCAGATTTTGTGAACTTTTAAGTCAGAAACTTACGAAGAATTTCCTTTGGAGCTTGCAAACAAGTTTCTGAAATAATTGGTGAAAATTGCTCAGATGAGGAAATTCAAAAACAATATCGACATGATGATAAGTGTAAGTAATCTCACAAGTTGCGTGGCTGACAATTTGTGGCTTCATATGTGAGGTTTTTA